CTTTCCAATGTCCCAGGTGAGTAACTGTCGTCTTGTTTGACTTGGTGGATCGAAATGGTTACGACTCTCACTAGAACTCCAGGTAGTTTTCTGTATAGAGTCGGTAATTAGTGAGCATCAGATTAATTATCAAGTGTTGGTTTGTACAGATTTGATTGGTTGCATGATTGATTACAGGCTGAAAACCAGGAAGATTCATTTCTTGAGGCGAATTTAAAATAAGCAACAAAGTTTTATACAGACCTGATTTTTCTAAATAAATATATTTATCTTTACAGTACAGTGCTGTTTGTATTCCTCCTCCTCCCACTTATGTCCTTGAGCTCCTGTTGGCTTTTGACTGTTTTAGCTATTCAGCATAATTAGTTTCTCTCAAGGCCATTTAAAGCATATATATATATATATATATATATATATATATATATATATATGCAATTGCTAACACCTCTATTCGCAGTTGATTTGAGACAATAAAGGCCTGTCTTCTTGCATCGCGGATTCGGTGGAATCGTATTGTGTCATTGTTGCCAAACAGTGGTTGGAAAAGTAGGCTCGTGCGTAGACTATGATCACGCTCTGGTTCGCGCACGTTTGTGCTAACGTCTAAATGGACACAAGAAGCTATTGACAGCGAAGCATTTAAGTCCCCTACTGGATCGAGACTCTGAGTCCCTATTTAAGGAGGAAATAGCGAAACGAGTACCTGAGGTCGACAGTAGGACTCCGCCTGAAGTAGGGTGACATAACATACAGTTCGCTGTAGACACAGCTGTAAAAGCTGTTGATAACCTGAAACCTAAAGTCAATAAGAGCCAGTGAATCTCTACCGCCTCATCCGAACTGATTCAGACAAGAAAACTGATTCCGACTAGCTCCGATTATGATGAGGAGCGAAAGCTACTCAAACGCAAGCTAACAAGAAGCCTTCGTAACAACCGTGAATAGTGGTGGGCGACAAAAACGAAAGAGATGGAAAAGGCATCAGCGATTGGTAACACCTGACAACTATGTAGACTTATCAGGGAAACAGGTGGTAAAATGCAAACGATGAGTGAAACAATCTCTGAGGAAAATGCCACTATAATTAGCTCCCACGATAGACAACTGCAATGTTGGGAAGAACACTTTGAGGAGCAGTTTAATTGGCCTACAGTCACGCTCAACTTACCGAACATCCTACACCTCCCTGAATGGGATATAGACAAAGGTCCTCCGTCCCCAACTGAGGTTACTAAGACTGTCACTAGTCTGAAATGAGGCAAAGCAGCAGGACCTGATAAAATGACTCCAGAGGTATTTAAGTACGGTGGAGACAGTTTACTGTCTACGTTAACTGAGGTACTAGGCAGCGTCTGGGAATCAGAAGAAGTTCCGTCTGATTGGTGTAAGTCATTGATTACCCCGATATACAAGAAGGGAGACAAGTCTTCTTGTGACAATCACAGGGGTATTAGCTTGACTGATATGGTATCTAGAGTTATAGCCTCAATAATCGTGCGTAGACTAAGCGGTTCTCAAGAGGAACAAACACGAGAGAACCAGACAGGCTTTAGACCAGGAAGAGGGTGTATTGATCACATCTTCACCTTTCGACAGATTCTGAAACATAGTTATACTTACCGGCGTCCAGCTATCGTCAAACTTATTGACCTGAGGGGCGGCATTTGATTCTGTCGACAGAGAGGTACTATGGTGATGTTTGGCTGTGCAAGGAATGCCGAGAAAATACATTGCACTGATCAAGGCACTCTGCTTAATGAATTCATGAAATTTCGGTAGAGCTCTTCAACTGAATACTTTGTATACGCATTTAGAATTAAATTGGGAATATTAAGAGTGATGAACAAATCACTCGTGCAAAACGACAGGTGCAAATGTTTTTTTAGGTCATGTGCAGATAGATAAGAGAAATGGAAGTGGGAGAGATTAAAATTAAGATAAAATGCAATATACGGTTCAATTACATCACTTAAATAAACAATCATTTATCAGTGAGTGAGTGAAAGAACTTGAATATATCAAGTATTGCAAACTGGATAATATTGATAACAACTGCGATGGTAATAATGTTGAAACGAGGTAAGATAATCATAGCGATAAAGGACAGTTTTAAATGAATCAGAAGTAATACTAAAATTTGATAATTTTCAATAAAGAAAAAAAGAAAGAACACATTTGCAGGATAATACAAGCTCGTTTCATTTTTGTGGATTCTCTTCAACCGTGAATAGATTCATTAAATCCTGATTTATTAAACTTTGTTGCTTGTTTTAAGTTAGAGAATTATTCGAGTGCTAGTGAGAAGTTGCGACCAGCGGAGTCTACTATGTGAGAAAAGAGGAGATAGTTAGTCAGTCTCCTGTGACACTGGCTGACAATTGCTCTAAATATATTATATTTTTATCATACATCAAAAGAGATTGTAATCATATTTGCACATATTAAGTAAAACGTGTGTGTCATGCTTGCTTTTAATGAGCAGTGTTTTGAGTTTATTGCACACCGGAATTCTAGTTAACGGATGATTATTGGTTACGAAAACTGAAATTAACTACTATTTACAACTTATCAGTCTTTCTTTTTATTCCTTGCACTCCGACGTCGACACACAGCTTCAGGCTTTACACCTTAAATAGTAGCAGAGATGTCTACATGGTTTGGGGTTTGCTAGCCTCACAGTCAACCTTCTCACTTTTCCTGGCTTTACTCATAGGCTAGGCAACGTTTAGGTGTACGTTGACCAGGAATTGGACGCGGAACTCCTACATGACTGGCAATCATTCCATCGGTGAATAGTTAGTCGGATTTATCTTTTTTCCAATGTAACCGCGATTCTGAGATATCGCAAACTTAATTAGTATATATATATATATATATATATATATATATATAATGTACGAATTATTTTGCATCTGTATTGACCAGACACTTTCTAACGACTCCTCAGAACATTATCTGGCATGGTTTGCAAGATAATGTAAAATAATAACTAGCTCATTTCTCGACCATCTGATGGACTTGGGTTAGGCAGCTCCAGAGCGAATCGACTTTTGGAATTATCTGTAAGGTGAGACCGAACGCTACAACAAGGAGTTTTAGGTCTCTCCAGTCATGTATCTATGACAAAGACGTTGACAATTCGTCAATATAACCTAGAATTTTGTGTGCACAAAAAAAACTTTATACAGTCTCTTAATCTTATACTCTTTCGCTGATCGTTTCGCTTTATTTTTAGTAAATATATATTTAAATTATAACTCCTACATTGTGTCTTTTGCACACCTTCTCACCCTCTTCACACTTTGTCATAAAGTGAACAATCAACCATGTTTGCTTATCGCCTAATTACAATTTCCATCTCATCAAATTTCAAACTCTTACTTCCACTGAGGAGTAGTAATTGTGTCAGTTATGTTACACTTCTTCTATTTCCCAATAGCAGATTGATATACACGTTTTAGACTAATATTAATGTGACTGTACAGTCCTTTAGGAGATGAATTCATCGATAAGGAGAATTTTCTTTGATGAATTTATCTTTTGTTTTCCTACATAGAATTATTATTGTCTTCTTTAGTTCCTAGAGAAATATATGGTTTCAGCACCACGTCTCCATCAACGTTTTCACATCTGCCCACATGCTTTCATCTCCTCTTCACATGACCTCCCCATGTCACCCTCAAACTGACCACCAACTCGCCACCTTCCCTTCGGGTTCCACTCGAGCAATGGCCTAGTGTGTCATGTCACTTGATGGTTTGTTTTCTCAGAGTATGGCCAATCCACAACCATTTCTACCTGCATATTTGTTGCACAACTGCTTTCTGATTGGTTCGCTCAAAGAGTTACTTCCCTGTTGCTGATCTATTCTGGCCGGCCACCTGATCTTGAGTAGTATTCACCAATGACAGCTATTGATGAAAGTCTGTAGTTTGTTCGAAGTACCCTTCGTGACGCGGCACAGCGCAGCGTCAAGTCTCTGATCCGTATAGTACCACTGACTGCATTTCACATTCGAGTTGAAAATCCACACCTTATTTTTCATGATGAGTGCTGTACATCTCCACACAGACTCAAGAGTAATGAAAGCTTGTCTTGCTTTCCCAATCCTCACTCTGATATACTCATCAGTTCCATCCGCCTGTAGTTGAAACGATGCTTCCCAGGTGGGTACGTAGGTAGTTAGGTGAAGGAGGCTGCTTCTTTCAAATTTCTCCCATTTATCCTGATTTTTGTCTGTTGTTGTGGTTCCTGTTGCTATTGGCCAGGAGTCTTCATCACCTCTGTTTTCTCTATGTTCACCTGAAGGAAGGCCTATCTTCTCTGGATGGTTCACCTGCCAACTTGTTGCTTTTCACTTGCATATCATCTTCCAGTTTGTGGGAAATCAGACAAATATCATTGACAAAATCCAGATCCTCCGTTTTTGTGTGGGTCCATTTTATGTCTATCTTCTCGTTGCCCACTGTCCATCTACCGCCCGAAATCAGGACAATCATTGGCGATAGTAGGCAACCAGCCAGCCAGCCTTGTCTTACTCCCATGTTCACTTCGAAGTATTTCATGAGTTCCCCGTTGCGGATTACTTGGCACGCACAGTATTGTCGTACAACTGTTGGACGAGATGTATAATTGTAGTAGTAGTAGTGAAGTAGTTTCCAAATTACTTCTTGATTGACGCTGCCAGAGGCCTATTCAAATTCGATAAAGTTGAAGTAGAAGGAGCTCCTACATGCAAAGGTTCAATTCAACCACTATCTGATTAAACACGGTTTAATTATCACCTATGAGTTGTACACAGCGTGCAAAGAAAAACAGACTTCGATAATAGACACAGTTGAATCTAAAATGACTTTGTTGGTTATATTTCCGAATCAATATTATTCATAGATGAACATTTTTCCTTCATATCTCAAGTACTAAATGCCTAACTTTCGCTATTCAACTAACACACACACACACAATACACGTTATACGAAACAGGAAAGAAAAAAGCATTTTCTGTAAGTATTTTGTATTTTTTTCAATATGTGAAAATGTATAATTTGTAGGAGTAAATAAAACACAATAATAATAATATTAATAATAAAAGTAATAATCGAGAGAGAGAGAGAGAGCGAGAGGAAATAGCCTCACCTCCCGCCACATTTTAAAACAGATTGCAGACCAAAATAAACGCAGTAAGGTGGGGAAATATACTACTAATTGCCATCTTCATCAGTTTCGTCTACCGCCTAAAAAGTGATGAGTATGTCTCAGTGTGACACGAAACAATGGAGGTGGTGGAGAAGAGAAGAAACTTCGGAAGCTACAGGCAGTAAGACACGCGCACCCACCCACACACACACCCAAGAGGGTGGAGAGAAGAGCATACTTTTCTTCGGGAGGAAATGCACGCAATAGAAGACACCACTCTCAACGCCAAGGCGGCTGCAGCATAATCAACAATAACGATATATATTGCGTGCAGAGTGTGTGTGTGTAGTGTATTATATGAGACAGAGAAAAGGTAATACCTATACGTAAATACACACATAAGTGTGAGTGGTGTGTCGGCGTGTAAGCATGTTTCTAGGACATTAAAGCAAAGGGAGTTAACAAAAAAAGAGAAAATAGAAAACGGAATAGGAATTATGCCACGCACATACACACACGCACGCACGATGTAAAAAAAAGGAGAGGAAACAAGGGAAAAGTTGATTCTTCTCATTGTGAAACATACAATGACCACCTATCATCACTTTCAAATATACAATCACCACTACTACTACTACTATTACTGATAAGCTGATTGGTATATTTCGCCCAAATGACATTAAAAACACACGCAGAGACAGAGTGAATGTGTGAGAGAGAGAGACCGAAGAGACGACAACAATGTCAATAGAACAACAAGAATACCTCTCCACTCCACTCCATTCATCGCCTCTAACGCACAGACCTTTTTTGACCGACCATTATTTACTCGAACAATACAGGAATAACAATGATAATAATTCTGTAAAAACAAAGAGTGAATAAAAGTCAAGTAGTTATACACGGATAACTTGTTTGCTGTTTTTATACATAACAACACACATGGACATGTATTCATTATCTGTTATTATTAGTATTATTATTTAATAAAGCCTAGTTGTACGTGTTTTTGTGTGTGTGTTTGAGAGATGATATACAACTTTTCTCAGTGTACATGAACAAAATAACAATCGTTTAAGATCAAATAGTGATTAGTCAGTCAGTCAGTTAGTCAACCGGGAAAGAAACAATTAATAGTAATAATCGTAATCACGATTATTTAGCTAAAATGTGATCGCCCTAAGGTAAAATCAATATCGCTTTGACATACATACATACATGTTGGAATACATGGACACACACACTGAAAGAAGCCTATGAATGAATAATCAAAAAAACAACAACAAATGATAAGCAGAATCATCATCGATAAAGTGGGCGTCGGGGGAGGGGGGCAGGTGAGTGGCGGTGAAAACGATAACAATAAAACAGCATACAGACGACAAGAAGGCGGAATAACAACAGACAAAAGGATGAGCAAAGCGAAATTACAATAATAATAATAATAGTAGTCAAAATAGACAACAATGACACCTTCACGTTAAAATAACTACTACCCTAGAACAAACAAATGCTTTATTATTAACATTTCACTTATTCACTGAGTGAAAAATAGTGATACTGCTACTACTACTACTAGCAGCAGCAAAATTGATTCATAAAAGCGAGAGAATGATTCGGGGATCAGAAGCGGAACGCGGAATGGTAAAATATATAGAAGAACAACATAGGTTAAGCGTTTATTCGCTTTTTTTTTGATAACGAAATTGTTTTTTGCTGTTTTTTTCACCTGGACAAGAGACCAACAACAACAACAACAAAAATGCCAAACAATATACACACAGTAGTAGTAGTAGTTGTTGTTCTTGTCGTCATTGTCATTGTCGTAATAGCAGTAGGCAAAACAGATCGATTAACATTGGGGGAGGGGGGAAGGGGAAACACACCAACAACAAAAAGGATAATATAACTACTGACTAGGTGTGTATGAGTGTGTGTTTGTAGGTGGTACTACACAAGTATTACAGTATAAGAGAAAAGTAGGGTAAAACAGATGTGTTTAAAAAAAAAGAGTTAAAACTATAATTTGAAAAGTTTTTTGTCAAAAGAGAGAGAGAGAGAGAAAACAAAATTGTTATTTGTCATTATAGCCGGCGCTTGAGTATATCAATGTCACTTACTACATATAAATATATATCCCTCTTCTCTGCTACCCTGTGAGTGTGCAACTACATACACACAAACACACGAGGACGAGATCAAGGGTGGTGGATGACGAGTACTCACCCTCGTCAAACAAAAACAAAAAAATAATAAATAAAATTCATCAACTATTTTCAAAGTAGTAAATAAGTGTAACTATACATTTTAACGACAGAAGAAGCAAGAAAAAGGAAGTGATGAGTGTAGGAATTTTGAGTATTATTATCATTATTACCATTATTATTATTATATCATTAATGTGATTATGAGCAACAATCAAATTTGACAAGGGAATGGAGCTATAAAAGAAAACGTATACTTGCGTGCTCACACATAAGACACAGGCAGACAGACAGAGAGGGCGAAAATAAGTTAACAATGAATAATACAATAATAGTAATAATAATAATAATAACAATTAACAATACTAGTATAAAAACTGTTCGAATGATTTCATTGAATCATGGATCATGATCGTGAAAATCATTATGTGATTCTACTATTCCATTCAAACGCATAATATAGTGCATAATACAACAAAGGTTGAAACAGGTCCATATGAACAGATGACAGATTTTACATGATACATAGATAGGTGGTGGTGGTGGGTAATACAGTAGCACAGTCTCTCTCTCTCTCTATGTGTACATGGGAACAATGGATTATAAAATGGTAGAATAAAGTAAAAATAAAAGCAAAAGATACAAATAAAGCTTGTAATATACATAGATAGATAGATAGACAAATAGATGTTAAACATGTACACAGACATCTTCGTCTACTTATTGTGTCTCTTCTTATAATAGGAGAATTGATGTGGCAAGAAACAATAAATGGGTTTTAAAAGTAAGTAGCCGTAGTAATAATAGTATATATAGTAGTAGAACCAGGAGGAGTACTCAATCATCAATTAAATCAATAGAATAATACAATATGCATACCTAATACTATTATTATTATATTATTATTATTATCATGATTACTATTATTACTGTATACACACATTTGTAAAAGGTGAAGTATATTAGTATGGTGTGGTAAGGAACAACACGTGTATTGAATATGAGTAGTACTCAAACAAAAACGCAAAAGAAAACACAATTCAGTAAGGATAATATACACAAATCCATTGAATTTTTTTTCTACTTCTCCTCTCCTTCGCCTTCTTTCTTCGTCTTTATATAGGGTTCTCATTGGATGGTGATTATTTTTGTTCTCTCGCTAAATTAATCAATGGAACTAATGAACTCAAGGGTTTAGCACATCGGCAGATGAATGGATGCTGTGGAGAAACAAAAATACACACACGCAAAAAAGATGAGAATATTTCAGTCATTGAGACAACAATATATATATATATATATAATTAAATTAGGATACATTATTTGTTTTTAAGGAGTTGATCACGAATTGATATCAGTAAAAGGACCATTGAAAACCAGGGAGTTCTGGGCAGCTGTTTCATCCTAGTTCGGGAATCATCGGGAGTACGCACCTACTGGATCCATCCAGTCACGTGTAAGGATGGATGGATGTCCCACCGACGACAATGGTTGGTGGTCGCGCTAAATCATCGATAGGTAGAAGTTAGAATTCATGGCCTGGTCATTGAATCGGGTCCCAGTGGATGAATGGTATACGAACTTGCCTTGCAACCGGAAGGTCCTGGGTTCGAACCCTGGTGATGGGTGCGTACTGCCGATGATTCCCAAACTAGGACGACGAAATAGCTGTCCAGTACTCTCTGCTGGTTTTCAATGGTTCTCTAACTGATGTCAATCCGTGATCAACTCGTAAAAAACAATACTAACCCTTACAAACCAACTATATAAATTATTTGATTCAGTATTATGAAAACAAGTTTAAGTGAGCTAATTCACGCTATGCTGTTTTGAGTGGAACATGGGGTTTCAAAGTTTCAGTAACGGTGGTGCTGCTTTTTACGGGGTGGGGTAGCTAGCAGAACGCCCAACCTTGCCTCTTTAACGATCATATATATATATATATATATATATATATATATATATATACAACAAAAGGAACGTATGACTGTTATTAGATGATTGGACGCAATAGCCAGGACCCTCTTGCTTGACCGAAGTTTTATGTTTGTTAGCACTCACCAGTCAGAAAGGTGTATTTGCGCAATCTAGGAAGAAAAACTCATGTTTCGTTTAAGATTTGAACTCAGGTCAACGCCAGTGTTACACTACCCACCGCTGAACTATTGGGGGCTAGCGATTGACTCCTACTGTAGGGACTGTAGTGCAAACTTTGATTGAACAATAGGTAGTAAGTAACTAGTGTCATGGACAGTTAAGTCCTCGATGTTCGTGCAGTCTGACTTCTATCAGCTAATTTTTGCAATGTGGCTAGCATGCTGTGTTGCCTCGTCATCGCGATACACCCTGAATTGTCTACACCTTACAAAAGACTAGACGTCTGACATGAGTTACTACCTGCTGTTCAGTTGAATCAAAGTCTGTAATATAACCATAGGTAATGCCTAAAACAGTAGATTAATGAGCCTGAGAGAATTTCTTAGATGACATACAAATATTTTCAACATCATATATATATATAAATTATGAGGGGTAACAGCTATACGAGTTTATTACCAGCTTTAGGTAGATGAATTTATTTATCTACTTTTTTTTATTCCCTTACGTTTCCAATGGAACATAGGGCAACCAGCTAGAAAGCTTTGAAGTTTCTGTAGCAGGTGTGTTTCTTTTACTGGCTGGGGTTGCTAGCCTCATACCCAACCTTCCCTCTTTACCGGTCTTTAATTACAGGACTAGCGAAGTTTAGGAGTGCGTCAACCAAGGATTGAATCCCAGACCACATACACGGTTGATGAGTATTCTACCGCCAAACCACTGATGCACACATATAGATAATTTAGTACAGAAAAAGACAAGTTATATTTTTTTAAGAAATATTTCAACTAACTTGTAATAATTCAATAGCTGTAGCTCTTTGTTCAACATCAACTTCTAAGCAACGATCAAGAAAGTTAAGAAATGTACTTGATAGACGATCACGTTCTTTAATTTCTGGTTTACCATTAGTAGCGATTAGATAAAGAGCCTGAAATGTAATAAAAAATTATCTTGAAATAATCAGAAGGATACCATGAATACACTAAAGATAGAGTAGATTTCGATGTAGTTGAGTTCTCTGAGCTAGTCGGAGGTTTAATTGCGAAGGTTTGGTTGTCATCCTTCTAGACAACATTTACAGTGCAAAGCTTTAAGATGAAGTGAAATTATTTGAATTCCCCAAGTGAATGATAATAGCTGTATTGGCCCGCAAAATCTTAGTCATGAATGGTTGCTAATTTGCATCGGTATTGGTCATTTTTTTTATTGACTTGGAATTTGACTTTTTATGTCATTTGGTTCATTTTTTATTACAGGATTGAGCGCGTGCTGACATCAGTTACAGAGCCATTGTGAAACCCGTAGGGTGTACTGCACAGCTGTTTCGTCCTAGTTTGGGACTCCTCACCAGTGGGCACCCACCGCCATTTACCAAGTCACACATGAGGACAGTTACTCGCCTTTGACACATTTGCTGACGGTTGCACTAAATATATCACAAATTGGCAGAAGTTGGAATTCATGGGACATTGGTTCGGAGATCCCAGTGGCTGCTGAAAGGTCTACAAGCTTGTCTGGTAACCAAAAGATCTGAAGTTCAAACATTGGTGGGTGAGTACAGCTGAAGAGCCCCAAGCAATAGGACAAAATAGCTGCTCAGTATTACTTGCTGGTTTCCAATGGTTCTCTAACTGACATCAATCTGTGATCAAACTTGACACAAATCAAATCCCTACAAACTAACTCTTGAAAATAGATTATTTGCTTATCTTTTTGAACTCAGCTCCCGGAACAGATTGTCTTCTATGTTCTGGGCTATGCGTCACAATTATCGTGTAAGAACTGATTATATTACCAATATATTTCCCTCGGCTGAAGTAGGCAGAGCGAGACTGGAACGCAAGACACATTAAGTAGTCGATCAAGCGTAGTGTAGTAGGGAAAACATAAGTTGGCTCTTCAAAATTATTGAGAGCGACACACAAATGGTACAATGTGTATATGCGCGCATATGTTGACCTACTTCCTTTCCCATTGATTTATTCTTACTGATGGAAGGGAAAAAAACCCTTCAATAGCGAGAACTCGGAAATCTACAACTGTCAGGTCTATCATACAATGTATATCAGAAACTAAAGTTATCCAGGATTCAAAAATACTGTCATCGCTCCGCTTCCATTGATTATCGTCAGAGATTGCGACAAAATAAGCTTTAGTATCATTATTCGATTCTATTGAGAAATGAATTCCTGCAGTACGATAGAGAAGATTTGTAGCTCAGGTGGATGATTTTGATGTGGTTGTGTTCTCTGAGCTGGATAGTTAATTTGCGAAGCTTTCATCGCCCTACTAGGCGACATCTTCAGCGCATACTTCAATTTGAAGAATTTAACTACCCAGCTCAGAGAACACAACCACATCAAGAATTCCTGCAGTGTATTACAAATGTGAATGGATAGTTTATAATCGCACTAGATATTGCACAAATAATTTGGCATATAATCAGTGATGGTCGGGTATCCGGGAAAAATAAATCCCACTGGACTGCCATGATATTCCTTATCAGGATTAAGGCCCTGATGATGATAATGATGTTCAGAATGACAATGAGAAGGGGGATTAGGAGAAAAACTGTCTAAGCAACACACGGTCACTAAAATTAATCTTTCGAATTATGTTCAATATACACTCCCCTCATCAAATAATCATAGTTAAATTTTGTCAAAAAGACAACAACATGAACTTACTCGAACAGGATTTTCATTCAAATAGGGTGGTTCCCCATCAACCATTTCAATAGCCATAATACCTAATGACCATATATCAACTTTTGGACCATATTGTTTGCGTAAAACAACTTCTGGTGCCATCCAATACGGTGTACCAACCATAGTGGAACGTTTCGTTCCATCATTACTTAATTGTGCACAGAAACCGAAATCTGTCAATTTTACAGATCCATCCATACCAAGTAGAATATTATCTGATTTGATATCGCGATGAATAACACGATTGGCGTGTAGAAATTCAAGTGCATATAAAATCTGTAACGGTAGGTAATAACAAAAAATAGAGGTTGGTATAAAGTATAAAACAGCCTGGTGTAGGTTTTATAGGTGAATTTAAACAAATTTGTGTGCAATTTCAAAAAGTGTTATGGCAGCGAAGAGTTTGAACATTTTTCACCATCTCATACTTTTAAGAATAGATGGGTAGTAGTATATTTAAATCTGTAAGAAATATTTTAAGGTGATAGATAGAACAATGTATGGGTTTCGAGTTTTTATTGGTTTGAATGTTATTTACGTGATATGTCATATTTCTGCTTGAGTATCAAGCTATTTTATTCACACATTTACGGCAGTTTAATGAATACGCGTCTTTTCGAGACAGAGTAGGTAATGCGTCCCAATGGTGACGTGCATATTTTACTGGATGTTATCCTGTGCAATGCGCTGTTTATCCATTTCACTATTCAAAATGTTGAGATGTGTGTTGGTTACGACTACTCTTACGCATGGATATTTTCTCAACAGTATAAACATCTGTGCCACGGAGAACAGTTTAGAGTTATATCCACCAATTGTCTTAAGTCATTGGTTCTTAGTATCCCGAAGACCCCCCCCCCGCTCGAACCACGCAATCTGTGCCACTCTACTTGGCTCAAATCAACTGTCATGGTTTTATAAAACCTAACTCTTTCCCAACTCAATTTTATGTTAGCTATGATTGCTTGTCGAGGAAGACTGTGCCTTTGAATGTGCAACACCCGTGTTCTAGCCGTCTAAAACGAGGTAGCTCTTCACAACCTCATCGGCTGATTCATTCTTCTTATCTAACACTCTATCTCTAACCTTAATATAACTCACCCTAGTATACCGTTAAACGTGTGAGATAGAATGCGGACACCTATGATCAAAGACAACTGGGCAGCTTTTTCATATCTTCTAACTTCAGTGGCCATGTCTCACAGCTATGTTTAAGAAAACAATGTGAACTATTGCACAGTGCATACACGCCCTTCCTTTTGGTGCTTTACAGAGTGTGACACAACTCAAACTTCTGTGTTGAAAACAGTCACTTAGTCAGTCACATATATATCTATTGATTGATAGTTGGAAATCACTTCTACACTACAGATACCGTAAAATAATCTTTTAACAGTTGCATAGATTAGTAGTAGTAGTAGTAGTAGTAATCGAAATAGTCAACTATTCGTGAAATCTTACTCCTATCCATCCGTATTCAGTAAAAAATAAATAAATAAATAAATAACAAATAATACTCAGCTTGAAAACATGCGCTTTAAGTAATTCTATTCAGTAATCTCTAGATAGGCACTGAAAAACAAAATGAATCAGACAACAAGAATATTTAATCTGGGGGAATAAGGACAAGTCTCCCTCGAGAGCCAAGATAAATATACATAATATTACTATTTTTCACTGATTCACCGCATATACGATATTATGAGAGGCAGTAGAGGATTGAGATACTTTCCAGAAAAAACCGCCCTTTGAAAATTTATACTTTATATAAACAAGAAAGCGACTACTGAGTAAGTGTCTATAGCCTGAATGATGGAAACACACACGCACAAACACGACGTCAGCGGCAATAACAAAAGAAATGTAAGTAATATATATTGTGACACTCAGGTTATTCTACTTATTGGCATGTATCTGGATGGGTACAATATGCAGTATCTACAATCATGCACACACACACACATGTTACATAACACGCACACATATATACACATATCTAGTATCTAATGTGTTGTAAAGACATACAAACCTAGGCATTGTTTGTTAACTTACCTTATGGTGTAGTGTAACTAGGCTTTCCTTTTATTCTTATAATTGTTGTTACTTTTGTAGAAAATTAGTGTCGGCTAATCACATATACACCTCCTACTTCTTACACGTATTGTTACACTACCAATATACTTATTATTCGAAGCTACCGCACAAGACATGCATATATATATCAGGCATGCACGCTGTACATACAAAGAGTGGTAACAAAAAGCGTAGATGAAAAATTGTTATAATAGTGGACAACTCTTAAGTATCAAATAGGATGCCTCTTTTCTTTCTTTTCTTCTTTCACATATATACATCATACATACTGTAAGAAACAATTACAACTTTTAAACATTAAAAGTAAATGCCGCCCTCTATGAAATTAGTTCATCCATCACAGAATATATGAAGAGAGAGAAAAAAAAACGATATCATGCCCAATGATTATTAGAATATGAATTGCGCTAGCTTTGGTGACTGGATGGAGAAAAGCAGAGAGGTTGTCAGTCTATGATATAACGCCGTATACGATGAAGGATATTTGTGCTAGGGTTAACATCATTTGGTACATTTGGTACCACTGCCTGGTTGAGGTCTGAAAGGTAGTTTGAATCGATGCCTTGAAACGTTATCAGATAATAATAACCAAGAATCGTAGTTGTCAATGGGGGGAAATTGTGCTGTGATTTCCTTTATTCTTCCCTTGCTGAAAGAGGTAACATGAAGTGATGATGATTGTTGAATGATCTTGACAAGTATACGCCTTGCTTGTTTTCTGGATGACGCCTCTCACTAATTCTCTCCCCCTGTTTTCTTTACTACAGATATACTTTCATTTTACTACTGTTGTATCCATTATTACTGTCTTCTTTAGTTCCTAGAGGAACATATGGTTTCAGCACCACGTCTCCATTGTGCTGTCCTTTGTCAACGTTTTCACCTAGCTCCACATCTGCCCACATGCTTTCATCTCCTCTTTACATGACCTCACACATGTCACCCTCGCACTGACCACCAACTCGCCACCTTCCCTTCGGGTTCCACTCGAGCAATGGCCTACTGTGTGATGTCACTTGATGGTTTGTTTTCTCAGAGTATGGCCAATCCACAACCATTTCTACCTGCATATTTGTTGCACAACTGCTTTCTGATTTGTTCGCTCAAACAGGTACCTCCCTGTTCCTGATATATTGTGGCCGGTCATCTGATCTTGAGTAGTATTCACCAATGACAGCTATTGATGAAAGTCTGTAGTTTGTTCGAAGTGCCCTTCGTGACGCGGCACAGCGCAGCGTCAAGTCTCTGATCCGCATAGTACCACTGACTGGATTTCACAATGGAGTTGAAAATCCGAACGTTGTTTTTCATCCTGAGTGCTGTGCATCTCCACGCAGACTCGAGAGTAATCAAAGCCTGACTTGCTTTCCCGATCCTCATTCTGATATACTCATCAGTTCCGTCCTCCTGTAGTTGAAACGGAGCTTCTCAGGTGGGTAGGTAGGTAGTTAGGTGAAGGAGGCTGCTTCTTTCAAATTCACTCCCATTTATCCTGATTTTTGTCTGTTGTTGTGGTTCCTGTCGCTGTTGGCCAGGAGTCTTCATCACCTCTGTTTTCTCTATGTTCACCTGAAGGAAGGCCTATCTTCTCTGGATGCTTTTTCTGACCACTTGTTGCTTTTCACTTGCATATCTTCCAGTTTGTGGGAAATCAGACACATATAAGTCATCGGCGAAGTCTGTTGGTATTATTAATTGTACACAGTTTGTATTTTAAATGAAATAAATATATACAGTACCTATTGGGTTAACTATTGTAAATATGGCGTTAAATAGAGTGTGGTTCCACTCGCAGTCTTTCTCTACACACTTTTGTGAATAGCAGGCTAAAAGCGTGCAATCAAAAGACACATATGTTTTAACACGACCCATCAATAACTAGAGTAAATGAGAGGGATTTATAATTCCAATAGACGTGATTTAACCCCTTGATATACAATATTTCAACGTTTAATATCAGAGTTCAATTCACAATAACACTAATGAATCATGTTGATCAATTCTCTGTTTTTGTAGTCATATTTTACAAGTACATTGTAGGATACAGAATAGTGTTCAGCAATGACACTGGGAAAACAACTGAACTGGAATTAAAGCTTCAGGTATTTCAAGTACGACCGACAACTATCGAATAAACTGCTTCATATTACTATATAAATAGCCCGATCTTTTTCAACAGCTGCAACAATCGTACTGAAGTTATCATCGAAGCTAAGACGATATGTGAAAGGCAGATTCAACTGCACAGCTGTCCCACTTCCCATTGCAATTCTAATTTCAGCTTTCTTCAATCCAGGAGGATTACCAACACTATCTCCAGTCATTGCAGATATTTCACCATCACTGGACTATTTGACTTTTATAAGGAGGTTCCACGTGTGCAGCAAAGAGATTCCGGTTTCGTACTGTGGTGGTGGTCTTTTCTTCTCCATACTGAGATCATTTAATTTGCGTTTCGTGAAAGATTTACCATAAGTGTCCTCCTTGTCTTCAAAATTAGGCCAACAAACATCCTCAGCTGTAGCTTTATTATCACCCGGTAGTCCCACCAATGACAATGGTTGGGGTCGCGCTAAATCACGAATTGGTAGAAGTTAGAATTCATGAGCCATTGAATCGGGTCCCAGTGGCTGAATGGTATACGATCTAGCTCGCCTTGAAACCGGAAGGTCCTGGGTTCGAATCCCAGTGGGTGCGTACTGCCGATGATTCCCAAACTAGGATGAAATAGCTGCCCAGTACTCTCTGCTGGTTTTCAATGGTTCCCTAATTGATATCAGTCCGTGATCAACTCGTAAAACATAACTAACCCTTACAAACCAAATTATAGAAAAGTCTTGGATACAACCGGCAAATTCACAGAGTCATGGGTCGACCATACTAACAACGACTATGAGGTTTAAATCAGATTCAAAACTTTAAAGTTCTGAGGTTCTTTTAAATCAAATTGCTAATGTGAAGATGGATCATCTCTTGTCAATAAAAAGTCAAACATTTAAGCGTTTCGCTTCCAGTAGTTTAAGTGGCCATTTTCACCAAGATTTCACCCTTTAATTCAGGTGTCAACAAAAATTTTCTACCTGCAGTGTGTGTGTGTGTTTGTGTAAGTGCAACAGTCCAACATAGACTCTGAAGCACTTTTGACAAAAAGCTTTTCGATGGAACCAGATGCTTGGTTATATCAGTGACAACATATGTGCATATTGATTTAATATCTCAATAGAATTCGAGAGTAAAATCTCTTTTCATACAATTTCTGAAGATCACAATTACAAAGCATAGCTAGTCAATACTCAAGTTAGCTACATACGATTTTGAAAGTCCTTTTTTTCAACTTAACAAAACAAAGGTAGTTTCTGTAACTTCATCCACTTTCTTAAATGTAAACGCCGAGACTCACTGTTCTACAAGACATGGGTAGTCAGTTTTATGTGTTTATGCACTTATATTTTACAATTACATTGTAGTATACAGTCTAGTGTTTTTGTTCAGCAGCAGTCGCTCTGGAAAGAAGTATTCCTATACAACTTCTCAAGTAACCAAGTGTGGATGTAAGACGAAAAAAGTACAATATGCTCTTAAATTCCGAAGCCGAAATTTGATTTTTGAAAACAAAAAACAGAAATCAGAGTCAATTTGACTTCAACGTTTAAACTAGTATAATACTATGTTTGATCATAAGGTGACATCACTTGCAGAATCAGTGAGTACTGGACACTTGTTTCGTCCCAGTTTGTGACTTGTCGGCAGTACGCACCCACCGAAGGGGTTTGAACCCACCCAGTACCCTCTGGTTATAAGGAAAGCTCGTATGCCATTCAGTCACTGGGACCCAACTCAATGGCCTATGAAGCCTAACTTCTACCGATTAGTGATTTTTGTGCCACCATCAGCCACCAGTGTCATTTGTATTTTTTTCTCACTCCCGACTGGGATAGACCCCACCGGTCACGACTTCTTCGGTCGGTCGGTCGGTTTTCGACATAGAACTTTGCACATATGTGCGGCACTTCAAGTCGCCACACTCCCTCCTTGTAGCACACAAAGCAAGAGAAGAAAGTAGGAGAAATGCATAATATAGACAGTAAACAGAGGTGTGAAACAAAGGAATAGTAATAACGAAGAACAAAACAGTTTCATTGGAAATCATAAGTCACAAGGAGTGGATGCATCTGCGCCAGACATTGACAACGATTTTGAGCCATGTCACCAGTTGTTTCCAACCATTGGTTTTTACCTTCCCGAGGACCCCAACCAGTCAGGAAGTCTACACCTTCCTACGTGGCTTAGACTAACTCTTGTAGATTTCATTGACTGGTGCCATGTTTTCGTTTGACCGCCGCTAGCTCTTTTCCAGCCTGACCCTATATCAGCTAACATTGCCCGTCAGCCGAGGAAGGCGATGACTAGACATGCATACGTAACACATGTCCTAACCATCTCAGTCGATGTAATTTCACAGTCTCGTCGATTGATTTCCCCTCCTTACCTAGCACTCGACCAAAGCCTAACCTCAATATTGCTCACCTTATTATACCACTTCACGCGGGAGATAGAACGCAGACACCTATGATCGAAAACAGCTAATCTTTTCATGTCTTCTGCTCTCAATGGCCAGGTCTCACAGCCATAAAGGAGGACTTCTTACGACTTCTTACTAGAACTACAGTCAACTTCGTCCTGTAGCCGGTCACTCATTAGCGAGCATCGGATTAATTTTCAAGAGTTAGTTTGTTAGGCTGTTGGTCATGTTAAAATCACGAATTAGCAGAAGTTGGAATTCATTAACCATTGGACTGGGGGTTCCCATGGCTGAATGGTACACACAAGTTTGACTTGTAACCGGACGCGGTCCTAGGTCTAAACTCCTAGTAGGCGAGTACTACTGAAGAATCACAAACTGGGACGAAACAGCTATCCAATACTCTCTGGTTTTCCAATAGTTTTTTAAATGATGTCGGTCGGTGATCAAACCTGTAAATGATTACTATCATTATTATTATCATTGTTATTACAGATACACTTCTGCCCCGGAAATAAACTCTGAGTATAATATAGAGACAAGGGGTGACAGATAACAGACTTCATTTGGGACTAAACAGAAAAGTAAAGTTAGGGGGTAAGTGAGGAAAAGAGAGGGAGAAAGAATATACACTGAAAGTCAAAAAGATATACACAGACATTGTAGTTACATTAACTTGACAAAAAAAGTTATAGGAAAACCAACAAGAAAAAAAATGACAAAGTGAGTGAACTAGTTGTTAGTCTCAGCTACAAAAAAAATAAGATTAGTAACATACACATAAATATATACACAGCAAAATAAGCAAACAAACAAGTCGTAGCAAGTGAAGATTTCAGAGAAATATCGATTAAAGCAGAGAACAATAATGCATATACTCCCCTCTCTCTGACCTAGACTATATAATATGCAAATAATCTTCACAAGTTGAATATAATACACAGATTAGATAACAAATGAATAAAAGGAAGAAGATGATGAGCACTGATAAGCATTAAATAGTTTGTTTGCTTATTTGTTTGTTCTTTTTTCTCTGCCAGGAAGTAGAAGAGGATCAGATGGATTTATATATATATTACTGTGATACGATGGAATACTGGTATACTGGGGATGATAATTAGTCTATTTACTCCCATTAGAGCAGTATTTCATCATATCATAATAAGTCTGTTCCCAATAGCTGCTGGCTTGACGTGATGGTCGGGATTGCATGTCTCAATGACCCGACACAAGCTACACTGGTTGAAAATAATGTTCCTGCAGGTCCTACAACACCAAGGAGAGATTGTTAGGAATAGCGATTAGACTACCGGTATAGTAGTGTGGACAAAATCGTACTTTTGGGAAAAAGGGATGTAACAGCAGAAAGGTGTTTCCCTCAGATGAATAACATGCCAACCAGCTATGCTGTCTCTCCACTGTGCTGGAGAGAGAGGTTTAGAAAATGTCGACCCCAAAAATTGTACATCCTGACTAACCCCCCTACGGTGGTGTCTGTAGCCTGAGGTAAGTCACTATAATAAGGAACCAAACGAAAAAGCCAGTTAACACTGGCTGTATGTGCGACCGGCCTTAAGCAATTTTCCCCTAGACTCTGCAGTCATGTGACACTCAAACTGTGTTTCAGTTTCAGGTACCCCAAGTCAGTCAGTCATTAAGTCTATTCAATATTGATACACATACTTAGTCGGAAAAGAGAACGAATACCATACGGCAAATAAGTATTATTATTATATTATTATTGTTCCTTTGGGTTCCTAGTGGAACATAGGGCTTCAACTACACATCTCCACTTGCTTCTGTCTTCTGCTGTACTTTTCACTTGCATCCATGTAAGTCCATACTGTTTCAGTTCCTCTTCACACGATCTCCTCCATGTCACCCTTGGACGTCCCACTCGCCGATTCCCTTTCGGGTTCCACTCGAGAACTGGCCTGACGCGCGATGTCACCCAGCGGCCTCCTCATCGAGTGTCCAATCCATCTCCACTTTCTCCTGCATATTTGTTGTTTGGCGATTGGTTCTTGTTTTGTTCGTTCCCATAGTTTCTTGTTTGTGATTCTTTCCAGCCATCTGATCTTCAGTATAGAGCCAGCGAAGACAGTTGTTGATAAAGGTCTGCAACAGGCTGCTGGAAATATTCTTTGTGACACACTGGCCAAGTTTGTGTGTTTCTCGCCTTCGCGATTCTCGATTGGACATCGTCGTCCGTTCCTCCTGTAGTTGAGACAATGCTCCCTAGATAAGTGAAGTGAATGAAGTAACCTCTTTCAAATACCTCCCGTTGATGGTGATTGGCGGTGGATGTTGGTGCTGTTGTTATTGTTGGTTGGTTATTTTCATGCCCTCCGTCTTGTCTATGTTCACCTGGAGTCCTGTCTTTGCTGCTTTTTCGACAAGTATAGAAATTATTTATTTTTATTTCTTTGCGTTTTGAGTGGAACATAGGGTTACAAACATAGGCGACACTGAAGTTTCAACAACAGTAATGTCACTTTTTAACGGGTTTCCAGCTTCACACACACCAAATCCTCTCTTTCTCTACAAAGCTTATGACCGGCTAAGAGAGGTATAGGAGTTTGTCGGCCGGGGGTCGAACCTAGGACCACGTGGAGTGTGCTTGGTTGGCCAGTATTCTACTACTGCTACTGAACAACCGGTGCACACAACTGCATAGACAGATGATGAAAGTAAACAACTTCAATTCAATGTTGTATGGCAGCACCGCGGTTCGACTTATTCGTTTATAAATGAAAAATTGCAGGTAATGGGATCCTACAAACACTCACATACACATATATGCGCATACACTTAAATATCTTGACTGAAAAGTATACAGCTGAAAAGTACTCCATCTATTATAGATAGATCATAAAACTCCACTCAGAAAATAGAAGTGAATATTAATTAAGCATAATAATCAGTTACAAACTTCTTTCGAATATGAGGCGATAAATTACAGACATCTTTCCTCAAGAGCTTTCAGGACAACCTGCATTCATTTATTATGAAACTGGTAAATGAAAGGTTTCCCAAAATGTCTGTAAAATATGGGTCAATAATTTATTAGGCGTTATTATTATTATTATTCTCATAAGGTTCCAAATGGAACACAGGACTCCAATTCATCCTCTTCGCTGCAGTCCTCTCTCTTTGACCGACTCCACGATTGCCCATGAGTTTTCACTCACAGCTGTCATCCTCGGACCCATACCCAACTCGTCGTCTTCTATTTGAGTTCCCTTTGTTTGAGAGATGGCCTGGCGCACTTATATATATATATATATGACACGCAGGAAATGTTGATGGAAGTCTGTTGAAGGAATTTACTTTCGTTATTCATTTTATTCCTTTGGGTTTCACGTGGAACATAAGGCTTCAAGCTTTGGAGTTTCAGAAGCACTGGTGACTTCTACGGGTCGGGGTTGCAAGCCACCCACCCGACCTTTCTTCTTTGCCGCGCTTACAACCGGCTGATGATCGAACACCGGCTGGACCAAAGACTTACAGACTGCAAATTAAGTGAGATACCTCCCCCGCCCCGCCGTCAAACAAAAAAAAAACAATTGATAATAATAATAACAGTACTTGGTCAGCTTACCTCTCGGCATATCGATGCAATATGTCCTTCATCCATACACGTCTCGGTGACAACATCAGTCAGTGAACCACCGTCTAAATACTCCATTACAACCCATAATTCTTCGCCTTTTGATGATGAATTACCAGAGCTATGTGTTGATGAATTAAGACTATCATTATGATTTTGTTGATTTTTATGATTTGAACCATTCAGACTATTGTTAGCATTATTATTATTATGAGGATCCATACTGGAAGGGACTGATGTAGATACTAAATAACTATCAAGATAATTTACAATATTTGCTTGACGATTAGCCTTCATGACTAGAATTTCATTGATAATTAACTCCTTTTTAGGTTGTTGAGCTAAGTTCATTTGTTTAATAGCCACTAAATTACCAGTGGCTACTTCATATCCACTATATACAACACCAGATGCACTAAATACGGTAATAAAAGAAATAAATAGAACAAAAGTGATGACATAATAACTAACATGTGTATGCATATATATAGTTGAATAATAATTTTAAAAGATTGAGTTTAATGAACAAAGAATATTCTTTCCAATAAGTTCTTCATCAGGCACTAACAGAGAATAAAGTATTAATGAATTTATAGGTTCTACAGAAGGCCAGGGTAGCAATAGTGGCTGGCTGGACTTGCTTCTTTTGCAAACGGAGCTCCAGTTGTTTTAAGAGTACTGCAATGACCTCTGCTACTTGGAGTATTCGGTGTATCTACCGTCCTTTGTTAATTTACTCAATAACCGATAGATGATAGAGAAAGACTCTTCAATAGGTGGTTTCGTGGCCTGTACTAACGAGGTAATCTAATATAAGAGTGGTCGTGATGTTTTTACCAACGCCCTTATTTAGCCATACTGTGATAGGTGTTCACTGATCACGGAAAATTAAGTTCATGGCGTCTGACGATCACAATATAACTGGCTCCACACGAAGAGCAGTTGAAGTGATAGATATACACAATTAGAGGTGGTTGGCTAGCCTGCCTGGGTACTTCTCGTCTTTCAATTTCAGAATCACAACCGGTTGGTTCTGTGGAAAAGATACAGGTTGCAGCTTATCGGGGCATTAAACACTGTTGGTATATCACCTATTCTTCGGAAGCCGAGATTATTCAGATCAGGAGATGTCATCTGTCTCATCGATATTGTGAATGACAATCAAGAAAGAAAGCATAAATACATAACGCTATATAACATTGATTGATTGACATGATTAGTTGGATATCATTCACATCAATTTGTAGTGTTTTTTTAGTCTGATTGAAGTGATCTAAACATTGGATAGCCACGTTTCATCACTCGTTTTTGCTGCAGACCTACCTCATATCAAAGATGTACTCTGACAGACTAAGCTCAGACAGTCTAATCACAGAGTTCAAACTATCGGAATTTCGACTAATTACTTGACCGGAGGTTCGATCACTTAGATATGACTAGTAAACACACTACAACTGGTTGATGTAAGTGGTATCCAATTACTACTACTGACATCAATGAGTCAGTAGTATAGAGCATAATGTACTATTTACTCACCTATGATATCATAGTAGGACGCTCGCCGACCATGCACATGGTCCGGGGTTCGATCCCCGGTCGACGCACTCCTTTACCTCACTGAGCCAGAAATAATGCTGGTGAAGGGGAAAGGTTGGGCATGGTGCTAGCAACCCCACCCTGTAAAATAAACACTGCTACAGAAACTTCAAGCCACTAGCTTGAAGGCCTATGTTCCATTGGGGAACGTGAAGAAAAAAAAGATACATTTAGATAAATGACTTATAATCAAGAAAAAAATTTCGCCAGTTATCTTTCAGTCAATCTATCATCTAGACTTTCTCTGAACAACACAATATCCTTATAAACTTTGACCTATTAAGTGTGACTCATAAATAAATATCAAATAGTATGCGGATGCCTTTTATGTTGTGTAGGATAAGTTAATAATAAAGTTATCACACAATTACCGAAGTAGACTTACCCTTGTCCAATCTTATCTACCATACGATATTTCTTATATGGATCACCTTTACTAACAATAGCTCTTAGTTTATCATGTACTTGTTGATCTGTTAATCGATGATTCCCTGTACGACGTCTTGGTGCACTTGGTGTAGTAGATTTTACAACATCTTCAACAGCTGTAGCAGCAGCAGTAGCAGTGGTCGTCGTAGCAGTGACAGCAACACCAGCAGTAGTAGTAGTAGTTGATGTTGTGTTAACAGTAGCAGTAGTAGAAGCAGTCACAGAAGGATCAACTTTTTTATAAAGTTGATGTGGTGCAGCAGAGTTGTTGACGAGTAAAGGCTGTATCTTGGCTTGTTGCTGCTGTTGTTGTTGTGTACGAAATACTTGAGTTAAGCCTTGTGGTTTTACAGGAACAGTTGGTGGAATCATTCGTTCAGAATTTATTGGTTGAGCTTTTACTGTTGCATTGTCTTTACCTAGAGAGGAAACATGTAAACAGTTAATGAATATATCTTGAGAAGAGACGCAGTAAATCAAGCGATCCTATAGACTACATAGCCTAAAATACTACACTCTTAAACAATCATGCATATATATTAATTTTATTATAGCTTGATTCCACACAGTACTTTTTGGTAGAAGTATGGAATTTTTAGCATGTGATATCCGTAGCCCAAATTTAGCAGGCCGACCATTGATATCAAGTGTGAGTCGGCAAGGGATCGAACCCCCGACCACGTGAACGGTCGGCGAGCGTTCTAACCGCTGTGCCATATATATATATATATATATATATATATATATATATATATATATATATATATATATATACAACAATAGAATAGCTAACTAATCAATAAGTAAGCGGAAACAACACTTATATAGGACACTTTAGGGTAAGAGATGCTTTTTATAATAATGGCCAATTACGCAATTCACCTTAAAAGTAATGAACTCTAACGCTATCAAGTGATTTGGGTCATAAATTAGGTTGATCATATTACTATACATTGTGAACGACCTGGTACGGCTGACGGTGTGCAAACTTCGGTCTTCCACCCTAAATGCTCTCATATGGCCACGCGTTCATAGTATCTATTCACTGTCTTCAGACGGCTGGAGTTGTCTACACAAAAGTGAAAAGGAGAATTCGAAAGTCTGGCGTTTACAACCGTACTACTGGTGGATATTCAGGTCTACTTACCTGGGGGAGCTGGAAAACCCTGATACCAAACCAATAGTGTATATGGGCTTCAGAATGCGATTGAATCGAATGGCGTAAGAACCTGTACTGGTCACTGGAAAATGAGGGAACACAGCTCCTAACGTTAATCCACTATCTTGTGTATCAAACTTTAAGTCAAAGGCTCGAGGGGTGGAGTGACCCATTAAAAAAACTACCTACTTCGGTCTGGACGTTCGGGATGAGAGTCTCCCAGCCATCTAACAAACTATGAAATTTTGTGTGGCGCATCACTTGGTGCCCATGTTTTAATAAAATAATAATGAATATTGTTAAAGTCGCATCACTCAGACCATGTGGCCATATTATAGATATAGTGGATATACACCTTAAGTGAGCACTAAAGACTTATATAAGGCTACACAGATTAACACCAATCGGGGTAAATAATTCCGGTACAACTTTTCTTTCCAAAGGCTTTTTACTCACCAGTATTTATAGTAGTTACATTCTCTGTAGTAGGTGAAGAATTTGTTCGATTTGAAGCAGTCATTCCACCATTTCGATTGTCAGCAATTTCGTTTATAATAGCATGTTCAGATTCCTAGAAAAAAAAATTTAATTTCAAGAATTATGTTGAATAATACTATTATTTTTAATGTATACTATGAATAACTAACTCAATGCTAATATTTAAGTACAAGCACAGATTACTTATTTCTCATGTGTTTAAATCAATCAAAATGTACAGACTGCAAAATATAACATATGAGAATTAACAAATATTCTCTTTATATAATATACAATAGATGAGGAGTTAACATGTCACAAGGCAGAGATAACTAGACTGGAAAAGTTACACATCATTCAGTCACCTAATATTATAGAATAATTGGTTTGATGAATATCCCTACTGAACGACCTAATTACAAATTGATACACTTATTTTATTGGTTGGAGGATTTCATCGTGAGCTGACATCAGTTAGAGAACGTGCAGGGAGTACTGGACAACTGTTTCGTCAACCTAGTCTGGGACTCTTTAGCAGTACGCACCCACCACAGAAGGTTCGAACCCAGAACTTTCTACTTACAAGGCGAGCTCGTAGACCATTAAGTTACTGGGACCCGATCCAATGGTCAGCCCATGAATTCGAACTTCTGCCAATTCACAACATAGCGCGACCACTTCGCAATGTCTTCTTCGACGAGTAACTGTCCTGACCTTCAACCTGCTGTACCTTACTGGTCACAGCATCCCACTAGAACCCCAGGTTAACTGTCTGAATAGGACCAGTCGCTGGTGAGCATCAGATTAACTTTCAGGTATTCGTTTTGTAGTGATTTTGTTTGATTGGTTAGAGAAATTCATCATAAGCTGATATCATTCAGAGAACCATTGAAATTCACCATGGAGTACTGGACAGTTGTTTCGTCCTAGTTTGGAGCTCTTCATCAGTACACCCCCCAGAGTGTTCGAAACCGGGACCTTTCGGTTATCGTTGGGACACTTTTGTGGCTGTGTGTTACTCAAGGAAGTTTTGGTTAGTTAAACAGCGGAATACGAAGATTACCTCCCAACGTTCAGACCACAAAACATTGGGGTTTTCTTCGGCCACACCTAGTAAAGCTTTGTAATAGTTACTCCTCTCCTAAACCGAAATGGTATAAAGTAGTAAAGTAAGAAGTCAGAGTAAGTTGTCTGAAATGTGAGCTACTGAAACTGCTCAGATAAATTTTCAATGAAGTACGACATAAGGTTTACAAATCCATCATCTACTTCTTAAACGTTAGTGGAAATTTGTTTTTAAAAAACTGAATATAAACCTGGAAGAAGAAGCAGCTTTTAACCTCTTCAGGTTTAAAGCCATTAAGTGACCCAGTATCATTAACAAAGAGTGTTACTTTAACCTTATCCACCTAAAATATATCCTCACAACGACATCGTTGGAACTTATACATACTGTAGCCAATGGACTTATGTTAATTGATGGATGGTGACTAGCAGTGGAATCCAGCATACGCATTTCATCCTGTTTGAGACTCGTCATCTGGATGCACCTGCATTCTGCAGTGAGTGATAGTGTTCCCACCGAGGCTCGAACCCAGTGCCTATAGTTTCAAACACCAATGCGTTATCTACTAGACCACTTGGGCCACGAGATACGCATTCTGGATCCCACTGCTAGTCACTATCCACCATTTAAATTCTAATTACATGCCCAGACATCGTCGAAGCACCTGCACAAGAAGCCGACAGACATTTCAAAACCTAAGACCGAGCACTTCAGTCCAATCAATCCGACGGGAAAAATCTAAAATTGAATTAAATAGACTTGTGAATTGTGTGTGTATAACAGCCGACACAGATAGAGTAATTTAGATAAAATTTGTGCAATAGCGATTATTTATAATAAACCAGCAGATTTCCACCTTATAAAAAATATCACACAATAAAGGAGTACTATTACTCTTTACCCGTGTGTGTATGTTATCCTTCAACAGTTTCACAGTAGTAAACAACACTATGGTTAAATATCAACGTGTGTGTTACATCATTTCTAAGACGATCTTTATCATATGATTGTTTAGCATGACAATATTAAATTCATGAAGTTGACAGAAATACATCTAAGTAATTCAATCCAATCAATCAACAATAGGAATCTTACTTACTTTTGACATTGTCATTGGTGTAGGTAAATTACTTCCAGTCTCACTGCTTGTCATCCATTCAACAGTGACTTGAGATGTAGTAATCTCATTATTGCTTAATTCACTTTGTTCATCAATTTCACTATCCTCTTCTTCTTCCTCCTCAGCCTCGACTACTACACCTTCTTCATCGTCCTCTTCGTCTTCCTCTTCCTCTTCGCCTTCTTCTTCTTCATCATCAGAAAATGTACCACCGACCATCATACACGATTCAGGAACTAATAAGTCTTCGCGAGATTGAGGAGGAATTGAATTATCATTATTATTATTATTAAACGATGAAGAAGTATGTCTCAATGTACCTTCTTCTTTAACACTACCAATATCAAAGTTATTATTATTTACAGAATTTTCAGAATATTCTAAATTTCTTATAACAGCTGTTGTTGCATGAGGTGGAACAGGCGGCGGTGGTGGAGACGACGATGATGAGGATGGATAAGATCCATATGGACAACAATTATTATTATTATTATTGTTATATGCTGAAGTTGACTGTGATGATGGTAGCATCATACTCGGTGGAAGTGCACTTGTTGGACTACTTCCACTACTACTATTTGTACCATTAATTAAATGTCCAACCATACTGATAGAATTTGCTAGACCAGATATGCTAACACTTCCACTAGCACCTGAACAGGATAGGGAACAACCACTGCTACTGTAAAAAAAAAAATTAAAAACTTTTACAATAAGTGCTTGTCATAATTAATATATATATATATATATATGCATATACATATGTATGATGAATATAATAAATAATGCAGATGGATAAGGTGATGAAGAAAGCCGGTTCATAAAAATAAGCCTATCACCGTTTGATGATGAGCAGGACGCTAACACATCTCTACTACACTTGATATATTTAACAGCATTATCCGATTCAGTTTGACTGCAGCTGCGGAGCCAGCTACATTGGGCGTACAATTAGGCAGTTTCATCGTCGTATTTCTGAACATCATCCAGCATGGTTAAGCAAGCGACAAACAAGATCTATTCGTAGTTCTATTTTAGCACACCTTGTTGATACTGAGCATAAGGTTGATGTGAATACTGCATTTAAAATTATTTATCGCATTCCGACTAATCTTAATTTTGCTCTACGAGTTCGTCTTCTACAGACAGCTGAAGCGATCGGAATCCACCTTAAGAAGCGAAGTCTATGTGTTCAGAAGAAATTTGTACAGCCACTTTCCTTACCATGGCCATCGTTACAAGAATGCATAAACAGGACTACGTCGCCCCCCTCCCCCTAAACCTATAAAAATTATAATTGTCCAAATTATTTTATTTTTATTTATTTTGACCATTTCATCTTTAATTACGTGTTATCCTTGTAAAATTTATTTATTCTAACCATTTCTACCTTTTAAATGTGTATTGATTTTCTTTGTTAATTATCAACCCATTGACATTTTGACACTTTAATTATTGTTAACAAACATATCACCACTTGTTTGGTAAATTGTTGTGTATTGTAATAAAAATACTATACGTGTATATTAGAGTAAAGCCAGAGAAGAGGATCTAATTGAAAAGTAAATATTTCTTCGCTCAATCTTTCTGTTTTCCAAATCCATGAAGTGATTAATCTTCATCAAGTTAGATAAAACTAGGACATATCTATCTTATGCGTACTAAACCAGTTTTTTCTTCAACGAATAGTGTGAGTGTTACCTGAAGCTGAATTAGGTTAGAAAAAATTGGTCGTAAGGCTAAAAAACATAGTACCAATCTATGAAAGTTATTGACTGAGACAGGCAGACAGCTGTAAGTTATTTGATTGACGTCTTCAAAACGCTAGTGACCAATGATCAGGGAATCTTGAACAGACGGAACCAGAATTGAAAAGGCAGTAAATCATGCCTTCATCACTCTGAAATTAGTGTGGAAATCTTCTGCACTCCGATTAAACAACAAAATCCCGATTTTTAACATCGATTTCAAATCAGTCGAAAATTTGGTATGCGCGTCACCTAAAGCATTTCCAACAGGTTTTAGACTTTTATCAATAGCTGATTTTCCTGGCTCAATATTGAACCAAACAAGAACTCAACAAATATTCCGAAGAAAATGGAGATGGACCGAACAGACGCTAAGGAGACCCTCGAATGGCATCGCACGCCAGGCCATCTCACTCGAGTGGAACCCGAATGGGGTCGTCCAAGAGTGACATTGAGTGAGTGATCATGAGACGAAGAGGAGGATCCATTACTGTATATCACTACTTCTATTTCTCTTCTTTTACGTGTGGTGTTTTTTGAAGGGTAAAACTTGAATTATTTAGCATTTACATTGAATTTGATTCAACAACATGCTATTCGATTTTCATATAATTCATTTAGTTGTTTATACTACTCTTAAACTGACAGACAAAAGTGTTATCAACAGGGATTGTACACCTTCGGGTTAATCAGAGAATTTATGCATGCGCTTTTACAAAGCTGTTGTTAATTATATAGAGATTCAATAGGTACACATGACTAATATAAACTACTATTGACATGTAGTCAACGCCAGTTATGATTCATCAGTTATGCAAATCAAGAGAAATGAATTAAATCTTCGCGAAACCGTTTGCTTTCTGATGTGATGAATAGTCTGTTATCAGGATTTTTGTTTCTTCTTCGCTTCTTATTTTTCTGCCTTTACTCTAAACGGTGTTGTGAAGAAAACGGCCTAGTACATTTTGATCCATAAACTATAGTCGTCCAGTTCCATTATTATTCTGTATTATATCACACCAGGTTGTTTTGTGAAAAGTCTTAATTTAAGTGATAAGTTTTAAGTTAAGTATCTTCAGATTACGGGATTTCTGCGGGGTGATTTGGATCAATCTTAATTTCAATTAAATGGATTTCATTAAGAAGCATTAAAAAGCACACAACACTGGACAGGACAACTGTTTCATTCAAGTATACGAATATGAGTCGCCAGTTCATTGATAGCTACTGGATGGATTGTCCTGAAGCTTTATTGAATGAGAAGTCGTGACCAGTGGCATCTACAATTACACGATGAAGTAGGTGCTCATCGAAGGCATTCTTCGTTGAGGGCATCGCTATATCACAAGTTGACAAAGTTAGAATTCATGGCTTAGGTGGCCGAATAGTCAACAAGCTTGGTCTCGTAAGCTGGAGGTCCTGGAGGTTTGATCCCTGAAGCCGGTCGTGAGTGAGCAACGCCAAAGAGTCCCGAAATAGGGTGAAACAGCTGTCCAATACTCTCCGCTGGCTTTCAATGACCTTTCACAAACTGATGTTTGTTTGTGACGAAATCTAACAGTTGAAATTCAATTAATTCATCTTTATTGTAACTAATGAAGATTTAACCTACTATATATCATTGAAAGTATAAAGGCAATAGTGGAAGTAATAAATATATACAGGCTGACAACTCACCGACTACTACTAAGTCCACCCAGACTAACACCAGATGTAATTGGAAGAATAGGTACAGAAACTGCAGCATGACCATTATGATTATCACCAACAAAATTTGTATCTCTAGCATGACGACTATGATTAAGAAGTTGTCCATTTGTTAGAGTTCCTGAATTAGCTGATGATATCATAGAATTCGGTCCAGAACGTGCAATATCACCTGTATCACTAATACCTCTATGATTACCACCAAGTGAAGGTGACATTTCAGGTATTGTTGAACCACTTGCACGTCCACCACCAAATGCACGAGTTGGACTACCGAGAAATACTGCACCACCTGTACTTGTTCTTCTTCCAGGACCTAATGGACATCCATGTGAATGACTTGATGTTAATTCTACTAAACTTGCAGCACTTAAACCATTCGGTACACCACCGCTTACACCACGACCACCAACACTCCCACTATTCGTTGTACAACTACTACCACGACCACTGCTAGTGCTACCAGCACAAGAATGTGTAGTTGTTGGAAGTCCACTCGATGATATAGCCATTCCTGTTAAATTAGTTTCAGCCATTGACATAATCAAGTTTTCTTCACCTGAATTCGGTGGAGATATTGATGTTGTAGAATTAAATGCAGCTGATGGATAGGATGGTGAGTGCATACAGTTTATATCACAATGACTAGGAACCATTGGCATACTTTGTGATGAAACAGAACATGATCGAGAATTGGAATTCATTGATTCAACAGAACCAGATGAGTCTAGATGTTCGGAAAAAAGAAAGAAACAAGAAAACAGGAGAATAAACATTTTCAACATTTGCTTGTAAGGATCTGATTTGTTTTTCGAGTTTGCCCACGGCATGATATCAGTTAGAGAACCACTGAAGACCAAGGAGTAATGGACAGCTGTTTCATCCTAGTTCGGGACTCATCGGCAGTATACACCCACCGATAGAGTTCGAACTCAGGACATCCCAGTTACAAGGAAACGTCTAAGACCATTCAGACACTGGGACTCAACTCAATGGCCCATAAGTTCTGAATTCTACCAGCTGGTGATTTTTGCACAACCACCAACCAATCCCATCAGAGGGTATTTGTCTCCACCCCCGACAAGGTCGACCCCATTGGTCACGACTTCTCACTAGAACTCCAGGTAACTTCATTCTGCAACCATTCACTAAAAGCGAGCATTCGATTAAATATCAAGAGTTATTGAATGTTCAACGAGCTTGCTTTGTAACCGAAAGGTTCTGGGGTTTAAAACCCGATGGGTGCGAACTGCCGATGAGTCCCAATCTAGGACGAATAAACACTTATTAGAAGAGTAAAGTAAAAACTCCTTCATACAACCACTATAACAGTACAATCAGTGGATATTCAGTCGTGGTTTTGCTTTATAGCACTTCATTGAAGAATAATAATAAAAGATGAATTATTGCCACAAACAGAAAAAAATTCGAAATATCTTTATCTTTTAAAAAAAAAGCTTACATTGAAAATGTACGTAGTTCATAATGGACATGAAAAAACAACACAACAAGAATTGGCAAAAAAGACATAGACTAAAGGATAAAACTAAGAATAAGTATTATTGATACATCCTACATGTTAGGCATGTGTGTTACAGGCTAATACACATCAAAAATTCAAAAAAAAGTGAACTAGAATTTGGACACCACTCTAATCATATCTCTCCTGTTGTATCTGATACAGAGTTTTGTGTAAATGTATGTCAGATAAGGGTAGCCAAATGGCATGATCACCTTACAACTAAGCATGCAAGCAAATGGTGTAATCCCTTTCTATTAAACTATTTATGCTATTAATAGTTAGTTAGATTTTCGTCACGAATCATCAACATCAGCTCACGAGAGGTCACTGAAAACCAACGGAGAGCACTAGACAACTGTTCCACCCTGTTTTGGGACTTTTCGGCGATGCGCATTCACGACCCACTTCAGAGGTCGAACCTCCAGGATAAACATCATTGGCCATTCAGCTACTTGGGCCATATAATTCAGTGATCCATGATAGAGACATCTGCATTTCCTAAACTAAAGTCAAGTCAGCGTCTTGGAACACGCATCACACACACGAAAACCATTTCTAAAAGTCCCCTAGAATCTTTTATCAACAGAGGTTTTCATTGGCTCCATCTTGCATATCAGATGGGCCAGTCAGAAAGGATAAGTGACAAGGAACTCTGTCAGCCATTGAAGAACCTAACGCCCCCCTCCAAAAAAAATCCGAAGGAAATAAAGATGGATCAGGCACACGCTGAGAAGACCATTGAGTGATATCATTCTTTAGGTCCTTGAATGGAAGCTTAATGGGAAACGGCAAGTTGGATGTGTGTGTCGGAGGCTGAGCTTATGGGCAGTTGTGGGACCAGCTATTAAGGCTGCAGAAAACCGGATGGAATCGAGATGTATTACTGAAGTCCTATGTCTCACTAAGAATCCAGAGGAATGATAATATAATAATAATAGTAACAATAGATTTAATAATGATTACAACTATTCATTTCAACTGTATAATTAATATTTAACCATTTTGAGGCATATATTGACTGAGTTATCACTGTAGTACTTTGCACAAAGTTGCAGTAGTTCACCCTGCTACACACTTCATGAAAGCACTTACAAACAATACAGGAAATAAAGATGTAAGGAAACCAGAAGAAATAAAGATATCCAGAAGAAAGAATCTTTAATAGATCTACGAGATCACGAAGAGTGAATGCATCTGTAACCACTGAGAACGATTTGGGGCCATGTTATCCAGCAATCTTCTTCAATCATTGGTTCTTTGAGTTCCAACGACTCCAAACCAAACAATCTACACCTCTCTCTATGAGATTCAAAGTAACAGCCTTCTTGTGTATCGAATAGATGCAAATGCACATGAACGAAGTTAAAGTATCACTTAAATCAGTCGGTCGGTCGGTTTTCGACATAGAACTTCAAGTCGCTCCCTCCTTGAGGCACACAAAGCAAGAGAAGAAAGTAGGAGAAATGCATAGTAGAGACAGTAAACAGAGGTGTGAGACAAAGGTATAGTAATAACGAAGAACAAAACAGTTTAATTGGAAATCATAAGTCACAAGGAGTGGATGCATCTGCGACAGCCATTGAGAACGATTTTGAGCCATATCTCCAATTGTTTCCAACCATTAGTTTTTACCGTCTCGAGGACCCCAACCAGGAAGCCAGTCTACACCTTCCTACGTGGCTGGCTTAGACTAACTGTTGTAGATTTCATTGACTGGTGAAGCCATGTTTTCGTTTGACCGCCGCTAGCTCTTTTCCAGCCTGACCCTATATCAGCTAACATTGCCCATTGTCGAGGAAGGCGATGACTAGACTTGCATACGTAACACCTGTCCTAACCATCTCAGTCGATGTAATTTCACAGACTCGTCGACTGATTTCCCCTCCTTACCTAGCACTCGTCCCGTGCCTAACCTCAATATTGCTCACCTTATTATACCACTTCACACGGGAGATAGAACGCAGACACCTATGATCGAAGACAGCTAATCTTTTCATGTCTTCCGCTCTCAATGGCCAGGTCTCACAGCCATAAAGGAGGGTCACTTACTTAAATCAAAGTCATCTCGCTTCATCACTATATAACAGGATGACTAAAATGATAGTAGTTATTATTTATTGTATTCCTTTGAGTTCCCAGTAGAATGTAGGGCTCCAAACTACAACTTTGAAGTGTCAGTGTAGCAGCGGTGTTACACTTTTTTATGGGATACGATTGCTAGCCTCACATCCTACCTCCCCTCTTTACCAGGCGGCTTAATACCGGTTTAAACGATGTTAAGAAGAAGCGTGCCGGCCAATAGATAATCGAACACCGAACCAGCTAAGGCATGGTTAGCTAGTGTTCTAGGCATTGATCCACTCGACGACGCCAGAACATATTTCAGAGGTGGGGGATAGTCAGTAACATAAGTAATTAATCTTGTCAAACAATAGTTATATTATTATTATTATTATTATTATTAGTGAAACAAAAGACATTGATTTCTATGTGTAAACACACAACCTACTTGTAAGAACAGATACATTTGTCATATATTTATCTTTGTGTTTAGCTGATTCATCAAAACACTGAAGTACACCGAGAAGAATTTCTGGATTTTTCTCTTGTTCTGTACGCGGGATATTTGATGCTGTTAAAAGCATTTGCCATGATGCAGGGAGACCCTAGAGGGGGAAAAATAATAAATCAAAAATGCGTATATAATAATAAATGAAGAAGTCAAATAACTATGACTCTATAATAATTGGTACACACATACATGTATGTGTGAGTGTATGTATGCGCAATAATTAACAGTCTACAAATGATAAACATTCATACATACATACACGTCCGCATACATACATACATACAAACACATGAACTCAGGGCTAAACAAAAATAAACAAACAAACAATATCATTAGAAGAAAGAGAAGTATTACAAGAAAGAGTACGACATGATACAAAGGAAACTGTAAACTACCAAATCAATAAGTGTAGATATTAGCTAGCCGTAACGGCAATAATGACAGATATCTATACTACTACTACTCATAGTCACACACACACACACACAGAGTACATACACAAATAAAATAAATTAGCAATGGATAAAGACTGAGATTGGAAGCATATTTACAACATTGAGGGGAGGGAGCGGGGAAGGGAAAAATTGCAGAATTCTAATTTCTTTTTTTTTGCATGAATGTTAATCATTAACAAAACTTCATGATGTTTATCCAGTTACATATTTTCACTGTATACACACATATGCGCGCATATATGTACTTTGCATAAATGTACACAAAAATGACGAGGTATAATTTTAGGACGCCGAATGACATTCAAAAAATCAGACATAGACAATAAACAAAGAAGGGATAGAGCATGTTAAGTGGCTAGTACTGACTGAGATGTATGTAAAAAAAAGATGCGACATAGTAGAAAGTAAGTAGGTTGAATCTATCGTTTTTTTCAAGTATTGGTTTTTGTAGGGATTTTTTTTTAATTGGTTGGAGGATTTCATTACGTGCTGACATCAGTTAGAGAACTATTGGAAAACCTGCAGGGAGTACTGGACAGCTATTTCGCCCTAGTTTGGGGCTCTTCAACAGTACACAGAAGTTAGAATTCAAGGGCCATTGGACCAGGTCCCAGTGGCTTAATGGTTTATGAGCTTGCCTTTCAACCGGAGGCCCCTGGGTTCGAACCCTCTGTGGTGGGTGCGTACTGTTGAAGAGTCAGAAACAAGGTTGACGAAACAGCTGCCCAGTACTCCCAGGTTTTCCAATGGTTCTCTAACTGATGTCAACTCATGACGTAATCCTCCAATAAATCTATCGTTATTTATAGGCATAATCTCGTGCATTTTACAGAGAATGTAAGAATGAACACATCTTCGTTCATACCGATATTAATTAAATAGGAGACGGTGTTTACTGATTTAATTGTTTCCTGTTATAAATATAAGAAGTAGTAATCATACATATATACTACTTCTTATTGCATTCCCATCCTGATGTGTGAGACTTGAAGGTTATTCACACTTTGGCAGTTAAATAACAACCAACATACACACTAGACTAGATATCATCGTTTGATATTGCATAGTTTTATGTAATTGCTTCCTGTTTACAGTTCTCAATTGTTATCATTACCTATTGGACTTCGCATCTATCAATACCTATTCCACGAAAACGCTAAAAATAAATTTTCAAGTTAAATTTAATGTCCAATAATAAATAGTAGATTATTATAAATTGTGCTAGTACGTCAGTAGCTCAATGGTGAAATGCATGCCAATCACACGTGAGTGGTCCACAGTTCAACTCACCAACACCACCACCATCAGCAGCAGCAGCCGACGTATTCATAAACTTCGCTTAGTTTATTAACCGACAGTTAGCCTGGAATAGACGGAAGGTTGGACATGAATCTAACAATCCTATCCTATAAAAACACCATCATTTACCTATAATACATGAATGCATGTTGGTTTGTAAATTATTCACATATGACGTATTCATCTAATAACTTAGGAAAATAGTAGGTTTATATATATATATATATATATATATATATATATATATATATAGAGAGAGAGAGAGAGAGAGAGAGAGAAAGTGAAAAGAGAAATGCACTGAAGCTTGATAATATCAACAAAAGTGTATACAGGAAATGCATACTTAAAAGTATTTAACTTTTAACTGGATTTTATTTATACATTTTATGCTAGAGGAAATTTGAAGTATTTTTTTATCACAGTATATTAATATATGTGTGTCGGTGGCACAGAGGTAGAATGCTCGCCAACCATGCCTCGTGTGGTTCGGGGTTTGATCCCCGGCCACGGACGCACTCTTTCACCTCTCTAAGTAGGTAATAAGACTGATAAAGAGGGGAGGTTGGGCGTGAGACTAGCAATCCTGCCAACCCACAAAAATAAACACCACTGCTACCGAAACTTCAAGCCTCTAGTTTGAAGCCCGATGTTCTATTACGGATGTAAAGGAATGGAGAGAAAAAACATCATTACTTAATAGGCGAACAATAAAGAATAGAGGTAATGGAGTGAGAACACACTAACTACCTTGAACGCGTACCATTTGTTGGATTACAGAACCTGACGTTTAGTCTACATAAAAAGCTGTTTGTTTACGGGAAAAATTATTAATAATAGTAGTAATTATAATAATAATGATAGTGAAACAGATGAAAGGCGATATTTTACTCTGGCGTAACTGAAAAATATTTCCCAATTAAATAAAGAAGGGTATCAGTTTTCAAGTATCATAGCTATCGAAACGGTTTCATCTGTATGAACAAGGAAAAAAAACACCCTAACACTTACTTCAATCCTAACTCTAACCCTAACGTGTAATCAATTCATTGTCCAAACAATAATTAAAAAGGAGATCACGGTGAAATTTGCACCTCGATTCGTGTACAGTGTTCACATACTGGACGCTGTAATAATGATAGGTCCTGTAATCCAACGAATGATATGTGTTCAAGTTCAAATTGGTGCGCGTTTGCACCTCAAGGTGACATAAAATAATGATATAGTCAAACTGTAAATATTAAGAAGTTTCTCTTTTTTTTTTAGTTTCCTGTGATTGTTATCACATTCACATATCTGCTGGAACATCAATATCATAATCAATATTAATCAGTAATTCACCTCATCGATTGTGTCTGGTAGTTGTGTTGACCTGCAACTTTACTTACAAAAACCCTAATGAAGAATTGAAACAGGCTGATGATGTGTTCTAAATTCAGAAAGAAATGAAAGCTAAAGCTTGTATACAGGTAAAACAAAACTATTAAGGTGACTCTAAACTATAGAGCAGCCCAAAACGAAACTACCTCTAGCAACCAATCACATTCGTAGGAAGTAGAAGTGCGCAATTTGAAATAAACGTCTATATACAAGTAAGTAATTCAATGTTAAAAAGCGGTTACATAGGATAATGTTTTTGTATATGTTCCAAAATAATATCTCCTAGTTTCTCACAGAAGTCCTTATAGTCAGGTTAAACCAATTTTTTGTAAACATTTTTGTCAAGGTCATCAATTCGTTCATTAGGTAGTTTCGTTTTGGGCTGCTATAGTTTAGAGTAACCACTATTAAATCATGTCTTCATGCATCGATTTCCAGAGAGTTGCCTTATTTCAGATGATATCAGTTGGAGAACCAGTATAGTTGAATGATCAAGCAACTCGTAACATGATGATCCTAGGTTCGATCTCTGTTATGTATGCCAGCTGGCTGGCTATAACTGCGTATTGATGAGGAGTCCCCAAACTAGGACAAAATAGCCATCCAGTAACACTCTCTGGTTATAAGTGCTAGGTCTAACTAACCTCAAGCTTTTGGATAGTAAGCTATGCTAGTTTTTTTTTAATAAATTATAAGCAAAGGTAAACTCTTTTTAAGCTGAATTACGCGCTAATTCTCAGTGGAAATCGATACGATTACTGTACACACACACATATATTGTACATAAAATAATGTTAACAAAAATAGTAAGTAGTAGTCTAACCACTGACTACTACTACTACCCAGCGAGTATATAAGAATAAATCATTCAGCCTACTACATAAATTATTAGTTAGTATTAGTGTGTACAAGGCATAATATGAATGATGAATCATATGTCAAAATTTTAGACTGAAACATTTTTCACTCTCTCTCTCCCTCGCGAGCGCTTTCTCTCTGTATTGAGAAAAAAAGACTTCAGATGGATGAGTCACTCGCTATTTTTCTTCTTTCTTCATATAAAAGTGAAATAAAAAGACACTAAGGAAAGAGAAGAAGAAGAAGAAGAAGAAGCAAAGGGAATAAGGTAGAGAGAAATGAAAAAAATATTGACAGAGAGAGAGAGAGAAAGAGAGAAACAGCAAGACAGAGAAATAAAGTGCATAAAATTGAATTAAGGTAGGATGAATACAGCACGAAAATTCACTCTCTCACACATACACACACACACACACTTTCAGACAAACTTTCAATATTTCAAAAAGAAAATTATTTTCCGCCTACAAACTTTGTGAAATTTTTCTTTCCTATGATATTATGAAATGAAGGATGAAAAGCAGGCTAAGAACAACACCAACAACAACTGTGGAAACCGCAAAAAGATAGAATCACAAAACGTGTGACATATATATGTATATTAAGAAAAGGGCTGAGGTTTTTACTTCATTGATAATGGAACAATCAACGATCTTGGCCTCATATCCTGAAGGTCGCAAGTTCGATCCCTGAAGGATTCATAGTTGGCTGAAGAGTCCCAAACTAGGATAAGACAGCCATCCAGTATTCCCTGGGGAGGGGGGGGAGTTCAATGGTTCGCTAACAGATTTGAATCCATGATCGAACTTGAAACAAATCAATAAAATCCCTGCAAACTAAGTCTTGAAAATTAATCTGATGCACACCAATGACTGACTGACTCTACAGGGCGAAGTTGACAGGAGAGTTCCAGTGAGAAGTCGTGACCAGCAAGGTCGACCAATTCATCGGGTGTGTGAGGGCTGGCGGTCACGCTGAAATCGCGAATTGACAGAACTTAGAATTTGCGAGTTACTGAATTTCAGCCCAAGTGGTTGAATAGTCAACGAGCTTCGCTTCATTACCTGAATGAAGGTGCCGGGCTTGATCCTTGTCGACGCATTCTTAG